CTCAAAATTGAACTCCAAGATCCTGGGAGTAATGGGCTGCTTTCTTCTTTGATACTGTATGCGAACCATCTACTATAGATTTGATTTTCTATTCTGATGCTGTGAACTGAAGTTCTCAGAAAAAAAATACATAAATGAAACAAGCCACACCGATTTTTAAGTATTCCACAGGGTTGATTGGCTGCTTTGAGCCACCTAATTATGGGGAGGTTGGAATGTTGCAGGTACAGATCCAAAGTATCTGGGAATACATTTAGCCCCTGATACCTGTCCATTGCCCACTTCTGAGTCCTGGGCTTGCCCACCCTAGACTACTGGGTAAATCCTTTTGGAATATCCTTAGCTGCCACCTACCCAAAGGCTAATAATAAAAACAGGTGACAATTGAGCCATGTGACATACACATGTCCACTTTGCTTAACCTTTACTCCTACGTTTCCACCAGTGCATATAAAATGTATTTTGATGTATAATTCTCTGTTCTGTTACTAGAAAAACTTCATGAAACTGTTTCCACAACGGAGTATGAAATTTGCAGTAACCCATGGCCACTCATATTTGGTTCCACAATCAACTCTCTTGTTCTGTGAGGGAGAGCTGTGTTTGTAAACAACTGTATCTTTTCAACTCTCAAGAGAGCATTTGCCTTGATCCTTTCATGTCATTTTCCTGTTAGGGCACAGCTGTACCCTCTAGATTCACATGTCAGTTACATGGTGTTCTCTTGAAATGCCCACAGTTCTCTGTCCAAGCTCTCTGACTCAGTGCCAGTCTGGATGGAGAGTTTGTTAGTAACTGCTGGGGTAAGTGTGGGTTGGGGATCCCTGTTGAGATACAATCATGGCCCTATGGTTTGGTTCATCAGACTGTGATGTACCACACTGTGAGATGAATCAGCTCCACATCCACACTGGTGACACTTATTTCTGTGTGCTTTATTTTGAGTGTTAAATTCAGAAACAGAATAGTTAGAGAGACCAGGTACACCAGAATCTGACCAGGAAGGTTTTCAAATCCTGAAGAACTCATTGGAGAAGGGTTCTCTCTCGCCCTCCCCCACCCTTTGGTTTTTTTGTTTTGTTTTAAAACAAGGCTTCTCTGTGTAGTTTTGGTGCCTGTCCTGGATCTCGCTCTGTAGACCAGGCTGGTCTCACACTCATTGAGATCTGCCTGGCTCTGCCTCTGGAGTGCTAGGATTAAATGTGTGCGCCACTGCCGCCCAGCCATGTTCTCTCTCTTTAATGGAGAGATTCAGGCTGTTTGGCCAAGGTCTTGCTACAGATGCAACATATTGATTGTAAAACTTATTATTTTGTCTCCTGAATATGTTTACATTGATCTAAGTTTGCTACACTAGACTGAGTTCCTGGATGGATGGAGTTGGATCTTTGTATCTCTCCAAGCACAACAAGCAGCATGATACCAGACAAGACTGAGAAGCCTAAATAAAGTTATCTTTTATAAAATACAGGAAATAGGCATCAACCATTTCTTGGAAACATTTTATGAAAGAGTATAAATACCTATTATAGAATGAAGAAAAATGAGGGCGACAATTATATGCAAATTATAAAAACTGCATATCAGCTGTGAAAACATTATAGAGTAGTAGAAAGTAGTAGGAAAATTAGTCCCCAAAGCAGAGTAGTTCACACAACTAGACAGAAGGGCCAAGGTCCTCCATCAAATTGCTGTGGGGGAGACAGGTCATTTATATACTTGGGGACAATGACACAATCATCTGAAAAATAGTGAATCTGAAACTCTCTTTTATAGCACAAAGGAAAATATATTTCTAATATACTTAAAAATAAAAACAAAGTGCTCAAAACCATGCAAGCAATATGCACTTAGTGGTGATTCTTTTACACCTCAATAGAATAAAACCGAACAGAGGAGTAAAGACTGCTGAATTTAAGGCACAAAATTGACAATAAGAAAAATGTTTATAATAAAATATCAGAAGTGATTTTTTTAAGTGGAGAACACCTGTAACAAGAGCATTCAACTACATAATAGTAATTATTATTACATATATATATGTAGCTGAAAGTTTTCCTGTGCCCATCCAGGTCCTGTGTCCTTGTGGTCCCACTGCCGCTCAGACCCAAATGAACACACAGAGGCTTATATTAATTACAAACTATATGGCCTATTGGCTGAGGCTTCTCACTAGCTGGATCTTACATCTTAAATTAACGCATTTCTATAAATCTATACTTTGCCACATGGATCGTGGCTTACCGGTATCTTTACATCTTGCTTCTCATGGCACATCCTGTCTGTTCTGCCTTTCAACTTCCTCCTCTCTAGTTAGAATGTCCCACCTAACCCTATTCTGCCTCACCATTGGCCAAACAGCTTTATTTATCAATCAATCAGAGCAACATTTTTTCACAGCATACAAAAAGACATCCCCCATCATATATATATATATATATATATATATATATATATATATATATATATATATATATATATACACATGGTAAGTCAGAGGAAAGAAAAGCCTATGGGAGACAGACAAAGGAGAAATAAAAAGGTACCAATTGTATCCACAGCAAAACAAATTGTATCAATAGAAAATCACCTCTTGGCTTTGTGACCTCAATATGCTGATTGACATCATATGTGTATTGATTCTGTATGCATGGCCCATTGCAACCTATATTATATTTAAATATACTTCCATTTCATAAGTTGTTTCATTTATAGGAAGCTCTCTCAAATAGAACTGCCCATGTTAAAAAACAAGATGAAACAAACACATCATTTTCACCCTTTTCTCTCCCTTTCCAACTCTTCCCATGGTGGCCCCAGACTCCCTCTCAAATTCATGACCTCTTCTTTCTTTATTACTGTTATATATATGTGCGTGCACACACACACACACACACACACACACACACACACACACACACACACACACCACACACACACCATGATGAGTCCATGTATAGTTGCCCATATGTGTTTAAGTTAGTTTAAGGCTAACTGCTTGGGATTGGATAACTTATTAGGGGACTTATCCCTGGAGAACACTGGATCTCCCTCTCTTAGTAACCAGTGATCGCCTGTAGCTCTTCATCTGTGTGTGAGGACTTGGTGCAATTTGCCCATCTATACCAACTAGTGTCATTATGAAGGTGTTTTTGCAACCATATTGTTGAGATCTCACGGGTGCTTCCTCCCTATCATGTTTACAAGACCCCGTCTGACAGCGATACATGGTTCTCTGGCTCTCACAGTTTTTCTGCCTCATCTTGTATGATTTTTGTGAGCCTTGGGTGGAGGAATTGTGTGGTAGACGTGTCATCTGAGGCTGCTTATCCTCCTGTCACTCATTCCCTGCAGTTTGACCATTTGTGAATCTTTGTGATAGTCCCCATCTGTTACAAAAAGAAACGTCTTTGACAAGGAATGAAAGCTACACTTAGCTGTGGGTGGAAGATAAGTATTTAGGAGATAGTTAGGAGTTATAATAACGTATGTGAATGGATATACTAGATTCTCCTATAGAGCCTACGACCTTTGCAGCAACTAGTAATGGACTAGGTTTACAGTACCAAGCACAAACTACCTCCTATTGTACTGGCTATAAGTCTAATTAGAAGGTGCTATGTAAGATTCTAAGAGAAGTAAGCCATCAATGACCCTGGTGACAGTATGAACCACCATAATCAGCTTTGCAAAATATGGTGTAATAGTGGCTCTCAGGAGTAACCTTCTGATACTACGAAAGCTTGTCCTCAGGGAGGAGGCCTCCAGGTCAGTTATGTTCCAGTTTTCCAGGCCTCTGTACAAAGTGTATTGTCGTCAGCAGAGGGTCTTAAGTTCTAGGAAGCAACTAAGGACCACAGCAATAGTCTGTATTGTCTTGGGAGTCTCTCGGACAACCCTGGTCAACACGTTGAAGTGAGCGCTGGGATGTTCATTAGACAGTCTATGGCTCTTGGGGGAGGTATTGCACCCTGTGTTGGAACTCTAGAGTTCAAGTCCCCACCCTCCATTTCCCTGTCATTACTGCAGGACACATCTGTTCCTCTCTCTGGGGGATCCTTCTCTTCCCTACAATCTCTTTCTATTTTCCTTGCTTCTGTGGTGACTTCAGGATGTATATTCATCTCAGAAGCCTTGGAGTTGGGATCCACAAACAAGGGAGGACAGGAAGCATCTGGCGTTCTAGACCTGGAAACCTCACTCAGTACATTTCCCCAGAGTCCCTGGAGCTCTCCAACATATTTTGTGTGACCTAATATTGTCACACAGGAAATGTGATGACTTCTAGATAGGCGACTGTGGTGACTGTCTGCCTGGTATAAAAATTTTACATTTATATTATTTTATTATTGAGAAACTATATCAAATTTGGTTATTCAGTATCGTGCAACCTGTAAAACTAACTAACTAGATGAAAATAACACAAAAAGCTAATTTATTCATAGTGAAATTCTGTTGGAATGGAAGGATGTCTTCAAGCTGAAACAGCCTAGGTTGGGACGCCCCAACTATATTCTGGGTACATGTGTATAAAGACTCACATGGCTTGGAAGTCCTGTTTCCAGTGTCTCACGTGGCCTGGCATTGGTGTTTCTAGTGACTTGTGTGTCTTGGTATTTGTGTTTCCAGTGTCTCACGTGGCCTAGCATTGGTGTTTCTAGTGACTTGTGTGTCTTGGTATTTGTGTTTCCAGTGTCTCACGTGGCCTGGCATTGGTGTTTCCAGTGTCTCATGTGGCCTGGCATTGGTGTTTCCAGTGTCTCATGTGGCCTGGCATTGGTGTTTCCAGTGTCTCATGTGACCTGGCATTGGTGCTTCTAGTGACTTATGTGTCTTGGTATTTGTGTTTTCAGTGGCTCACATGGCCTGGCATTTCCAGCGGCTCACAATGCCAGGCATTTGTTTTGGCATGGCTTTGTTCTCAAGACCATGTTATCAATAACCTCACCAGTAGTGTGTAACGACAGAGCCGCTGCTTTCTCCCCTTTGTGTTGTTGTAGGGACACCGGACACAACTGGATATCTCACTATCCACCTCCTGTTGGCAATATAAATTAAAAGGTAAGTTCTGAAGCCGGGTGGTGGAGGCGCATGCCTCTAATGCCAGCAGCACTCGGGAGGCAGAGCCAGTTGGATCTTTGTGAGTTCAAGGCCAGCCTGGTCTACAGAGCAAGATCCAGGACAGGCACCAAAACTACACAGAGAAACCCTGTCTTGAAAAAAAAAGAATAAAAGGTAAGTTCTGCTGTATCTAACATGGGTGCTGGTCTGCACAGACAGTGAGATGGGTGGGGTCTTACAGAACACTTTTCTGTCCTCAGTGTTCTGTTTCTCTGACCTACTGTCACTAGGACACATAGGTACATAGACTGCCTTACTCTACAGGGCGCCCCAAGACAGACATTACCCATGGTGTCCTTGTCTCTTTTTATGTGAATTTATTCATTAAAGGGGTCTCTTCAGTGTGGGAAACCCTGATGTGAATCAGTTTAAGTTCTTTTCAACAGAGAAATTTAGTGGTATGGTCCTTATTGTATTGTCCATCAGAAGGAATCAGCAAAATGCCTTTCCAGACAATGTATTCACAAATGCTTGCTTTGGTCCTGACAGCTGCCAGACTCAAGATTTACAGGACAACGTTTTTCAGCCTTACCTGACTTTGTTAATCAGTGTAAATGAGATCACAGCGTGGGCAATTGCTAGTATCAGTTACCAGCAAATGCCTGATGGGAGAGGTGGAGATGACATGTAGATTTTATTCAAATTCGCCTCCCTGAACACTGTGAGAATGGGAAGTTCCATTCTCCCTAGTTAGCACCACTCTTAGAGAGGAAATTCTCTATAAATGGAAAGAAACATATGCTGAGATGTTTACCACAGTGATTTCTGTGATAGTGAAAAACCAGGAAGCTTCCCAATGTCATAAAATAGAGCACATCTTAGGATGCAGAATACCCACCCCTGAGACCTGTGAGGAGTGTAGATATAGGATGATCCAAAATAGCTACCCCATTCCTTCTGAACCTCCTCCTCGAGGCTCAGGGTGTGCTCCAGTCTCTCAGTGTGAGGTGTCTCTTCCATTCACGAGGCTCCACCGCTTGCTTAGTGCTCTCATTTATAAAAGAGAAAAAGCAGGCACGTATGCTTTAATACTTAATCCCCTGCCTGTGTTGACGGAGACAGACTGGGAGTGCCTTCACCAGGGGGTGTCCATTCCTGGTCCCCCTTGCTCCACACATCCCACTCATTCCCTTTTCTGAGCTCTTCCTGTGTCCGGGACCTGAATCGTACGGTTTGATACTTAATGTTGCCCTGTTTTAACTAGACAATCTCAATGGTTCTTTCGGGCAATCTTAGCCTCTGGTTTACATTTTTATGACCCTCCTCCTCAGCTATGATTTATACTGGCTTTATATAAATTCTTGTTGTTGAACCTATCAGATCTCACTGCAGCTTCTGTTGTAGTATTTCAATAAGAACAGAAACAGTGATGACGAGTTTGTGAGACTGCATGTTCCTTGGGATTGCGGATGACCAGGTTCTAGAACCTGTCACTTTAAATGTGTGTTTAAATACAAAGATGCTTCATGATAGGGAAATGATGTCTAGTGTAAGTTCAGTGCACAAAATGTCTCGGGTAAGGAAGAAATGACGTTACCTCTAGAAGGTATTCCAAGGCAGAATTATGCAGAATGTATAGATGGCTCATCATGAGCTCCGCATGGGCCTGGGCTGATCAGTAGCAGGGAGCGTAGCAGCTATATAGGACTCTGGAGCCAGTACAGAGTGACCTTGGGCTGTTAGGAGCTCTGAGCTGGCTTCTAGTTCTAGATGACATTGTGATAATATAGACTCTTCCTGAGCTTGTGGTAAGGATTGCATAAGTTAGTACCTGACAAGCATTTTCTTTCAAGACAGCGCCCTGACAACTATCACCTCCCACAACTAATTAAGGTTTGCATTCACATTTCTGTTTATGTTTTGTCCTGGGGATTAAACCCAGAGTCTCATGTTAGCTAGGCAGTCACTGCTCTCCCTCTGAGGGGACCCCCAGGCTATACATTTTCCTAGAACAGACTGAGGTTTGGGACTTGGGAAGGTGAAAATTGCTGTATGGAAAGGGCAGAAATGAATGTTCTGGTGGAGAAACTTGATAAACAGATGTATTCAGATGACCAAGGTCAAAAATGAGCAGTGGAAAGCCACATTGGCAGAAGGGAGCCTAGGCATAATGGGATGGAGTTGGACTGCCACAATACCCTTGTCTCCTCCCCCAGTGGTCTGAGTCTAACTGAGACAAATCCCAATGGAAAGATATTCTGAATTTGGTTCAAAATATGACCCCAGAGTAAATAACCCTAGTTAATTAATTGTGGTGGTAAATAGCCTTCTTACCATCACTGTGGTGGTTTGAATGAGAATGACCCCCACAGGCTCCCACTGTGAGCACCTGGGCTCCAGTTGGTGGAGCTGTTCCGGAAGGATCACCTGTATCACTGGGTGCTGTCTCTGAGGTTTGAAAAGTCTGGTGCCACTTCCCAGTGTGGTTCAAATGTGAGCTCTCTCTCTGTTCTGGCCGCCAAGTCTTCCCTCTACCTTCAACTCCACCAGCATGGAGTCTGACATTCCGGAAATGCCAGCCCGATTAAACTCTTCCTTTATAAGTGGCCTTGGTCATGGTTTTTAGTCACAGCAATAGAAAAGTGACTGAGACAACCATCACGTGACTGTAAGACACTAAAGCTACAGGACACTAACTGTCATTGATGAAAACTGCCTGTTTTCTGTAAATCTAAATGATCATAAGACCGTCACGATCTTTCCAAAGTGTGCCCCGACATATATAGCTGGTCTGCAGTGCCATAGGGGCTTCAGCACGTGGGAGTCCTCGGATTATGCCATAGTGAGCAGACTGAACAGCAGGACTTACTTTCTTACAGCTTAGGAGGGCAGAGGTCTGGGCATTAGCAGGTTTGGATTCATCAGAAGACTTGTTGGCCTGCAGAGGCTGCTAGCCCACTGTGATCTCACATGGTCATGTGGCCTTTGCTCTGTGTAAACCTCAGTGGCATGGCTTTGCCTGTCCCCGTTTCTTCTTGTAACACCTGTCAGGTTTGGTTAGGATCTTCCCTAACGACCTCATCCTCTCTTTCAAACACCGTCACCTAGTGCTGGGGTTGGGGCTGCAGATGCTTCTTAGGGAGGTATAGTTCAGTCCGTAACAGATGTTTGTAGCTGGAGAACTTCTCTCCAGCTCCCACCAAGCCCCGGCAGTCCTGCAGCCCACTTATAAAATAAACACACAGACACTTACATTATTTAAACTGGTTGGCCTAATGGCTCAGACTTCTTGCTATCTAGTTCTTCTATCTTAAATTAACCCATTTCTATTAATCTATATCTTGCCACGTGGCTTGTGGTTTACCGGTACTTTACATCCTGCTCCTCATCGCCGCGGCTGGCAGCGTCTCCCCAACTCCGCCTTTCTACTCCCCCCGATTCTCCTCTCTGCTAGTCCCGCCTATACTTCCTGCCTGGCTACTGGCCAATCAGTGTTTTATTTATCAATCAATCATCCACAGCAGATGTTGTGACATTTTGCATAAGAAACGTCTCCACACCTTGTGTGTCTGAAGACCTGGCTCCAGTTGGTGCTGCCGTTTGGGGAGGTTGTAGAAACTTTGGGAAGGGCGGTCCTAGCTGGCAAAAAACAGGTGGAACATGAAGATGGCATATGTGTTGGGAGTACATGAAACCAGAGATGGACACTCACAGGTAAAGGAGGGTCAAAGGTGCTCCAGACATGGCTTCCTGATCCCCCAAGACACAAGGAGCTGTGGGCTTAGGCTTTGCTACCATGGCAGAGCCATCCCACCACCTCATCAGGATGGACTCCATCCTCTGAAGCCTGAGGCAAATAAACCTCCCAGTAAGTGGCTTCTGCCAGGCATTTGTCACAGTAATTAGGAAAGTAACAAACGCAGGCACTGGGCAAACTTTGTGCAGGAAATCACATTCATTCAAGCCTCATCTTAGTTGTGAGTCAGTCACATACTTTACAAAGAGTGAATGGTGGCTTTACTCTGTGGAACCCAGCAGGGCTGCAAGTCTCATGCATACCGCTGTGGGCCCCACTGGCCTTTGCACATCCTCCAAGGCACTGGCACGTCTGCCCATTGGTGGCTTCCAGCTCCACACCTCAGACGCTGCCCCATTTCCTTCTATGCACAGGCAATCTTTCCGCCCTTGTCTCTCAGCTTGTTTGATCCCCATTTGTAACCCACGTGTTCCCCATTGATGAGTCCTTGATGGTGTAAACCTCTGTGTCTCCCCTTATCCTTGGTTTTGGGGCCGATCCAGATTTATCGTCATCTGATTCTGGAGTCGGCCAGAGATAGGAGGGGTGTCATTTGTTGATGCTGTAATACTTTGAAATTCTAGCTAAAACTTGAGAGGAAATATAAAAATGTAAAACAACCATAAAAGGTCAGAAAATAAGCAGGCAATAGCACTTCAAACTTGGAAATGTTTAAGCTGGGAGTCTTTAAAAAATATGTTCTATAGTTAAGTGCATGACATTGAGTAGGCGCTAACATTTCTCAAAACATCTGAAAGATTTTCAAAGAGGGAGGATGCCTTTAATTAAAGTGCTCAGTCTTTAAGTAAGTGGTAGATAAATTATGAAGAAGCTCTTCTGAAAATGTAGTAAGAGAGCTAAGGCAGAGTGCAAACATGTACATAGTGAGTTCCATGTGTGTCTACACACGCATGCATGCACATGCAAATGCCCTGTCTGTGTGTACATGTACAGATACACATGTATGCACATGCAAATGCCCTGTCTGTGTGTACATGTACAGATACACATGTATGCACATGCATGCATGCACATGCAAATGCCATGTCTGTGTGTACATGTACAGATACACATGTATGCACTTTTATATAATGGGGTTTGCTTTTGAAACATTAAATATACCGAAGACTGAAAAAACAACTCTAAGTATTTTGCACAGGGATAGCAGAGTAAGTTAAATGATTTTGAACCATAGGGTATTCTA